TTGCCAGTTGTCTCTTTCCTGCTTTTGCTAACTTTCTATTTGTTTTGCCAGTTAACTATTTTTGACATTAGCTAATATTAACAAATAAACTTCAAACTCCATTTTTGCTAGCTGAACTGACTGGCAGTTGTGTTTGCTCTCATGTGGATCATTGACTGGGAGTGTGCTGGATACAAACTAAACTTGTCATTAGCCACAATAATTTAAAAACAACAACTAACCCAACACCAGCCAAATCAGAACATTCTAAAGGAATATCCAATTGGGGCAATTTATTCCAAGTTTAGGGCAAAGTTTCTTGCTTTCTTTTGTGCATACTATTGATTAACACAAGTTAATATATTAAAACTTTTTAACAATTATGTTAAATAACCCCTTTCAATTTTTTGCAATACTTTGTGACAACTGATATAAATCAATATTTCTAAGAGTGATGAATTATTTCTGTCAATATTTTGCATCAAGTTCAGTTCCTAATTATGTCATTGACACCAACTCCTTAAATATGAAATCTGCTTCTATTCTTTACTAGCTGTAAACATAACAAGTTACAGTGAAGTACCAAAAATTATACAGTATATTATTTCCAGCAGTGAACAAATAAATTACTGACATAGATGATATAAAGACAGTGACAAAATTGTTGCAAGAATAGAACATACAGTTCACAACAAGGTCTCTAAATCACACATGCCTTTGATTAAACTGATACCTTAAATCTTGAAATGTTGCATGTACTATTTGTGCTGATTCAGACTGTGCTTGGCATATATGGACATTCAACGCAACCTAGGTCAGTTTTCAACACCTTCTTCTCATTTTCTAACTGTTGTTAGGGATCAGATTCTTTATCACTAATATTTAACATTGAGAGAAATAAAAATGAAGAAATGTATCCTTAAGACATGTCTTCCTTCATAGGAGAATTATAAAACAGAACTTGGGAAAGAAATATATATATATTAAAGTATATGTTGATATGTTCTTAAAGGGTGTTTTAATTGGCACAGATTACACCAGCATTTGAAACTGAGCTTCAGAAGGTACTTCACATATCCTGTTTTCCTAGGGATTAGTGACATGGATGGTTGCTAAGGAAATAGAGGAAATTTAAACAAAGGTGCTTCTCTTCGAGAAGGAGAAACTTTTGTGCATTTTCCAGGGCTGTTTGTTGGATTGTTTATTTTGTGGAACTTTGTGCTTAAAATAGCCTCTTTTTTTTGCCAAACCACATCTAAAGTTAGTTTGATTTATGAGTCAAGAAAGCTATTGCCCTACTACTTCTTGCAGCCATGTGAATAATCTGTCCTTTTGAAAGAACCTTACTGGCATATGTGATGCAGAATTTGACTTCTTTTCCTGTTGGCATGTCTATACAGACATTCCTTCATCGTGAGTTTTAATCAACGCAATGAAAATGGCACCAATTTTTGCAGTTATGGGTGGCCACTGCATTCCTAAGAGGACCAGTACAAGAATTTATTGTGCTACCTTTCATGAGTAGACTATTGGGAAACTAATCATACCCCGAGGAGAGAGGAACACACCAATCTCTCAGCTTGGAAATCCTTTAGGAATATTTTTTTTCTAATGCACACAGAGCTCATTTAGATATTATGTTCATGTTTTTAAACCACAAATTTCACAAGAAGCACATAATATGCTAACATTTAAATCTTAAAATCTTATTAAACATTTGTACAGGTAGTCTTCGACTTACGATCACAATTGAGCCTAAAATTTATGTTGCTAAGTGTTAAGTGGATTTTGCCCCATTTTACAACTTTTCCTGCTGCATTTGTTAAGTAAATCACTGCAATTGGTAAATTGGTAACTTGGTTGTTAAGTGAATCTGGTTTCTCTATTGAAAGGTGATCGCATGACCGGTCAAAACTATGAGTCAGTTGCTAAACATCGGAATTTTGATCCCATGACCGAAGAGATGCTGCAATGTTTGTAAGTGTGAAAAATGATCATAAGTCACTTCTTTCAGTGCTGCTGTAACTTTGAACGATCGTTAAATGAACTGTTGTAAATCAAAGATTACCTTTATGTCTCTGAAATATGAAATGCCTTGCAAGACTCCCTAAAAAGAAGGTAGAAATTTGTCCATTTTTTAAAATCTTACCAGGAAATGTGCAGCTGCATAAAAAATTGCAGCTACTTGTCATAGGGCTACTGATTTGAGATAATGTAGATAATATATATTACATAATGTGGTATAATATATAATATATACAAAAATATATTTTGAAAGCCTAACATTTCAGTCTCAGTTCCTATCATCTTGATATAGATCTAGGAAATATTCATCTCTTAAACCCTAGAGAGATATTGCCAATCAGCATAGGTGGTATCAATTTAATGGATCAATATAAACTCTGATAAGATAATTTCTGTGTTTCTAAAGTAGTTAAATTATGATCTGTAGCCTGTGAAATCATGCTGTTTCATTGTTGAAGGCATAATGCAGTTCATAAATCTGACTCAGTCCTGGAATCAATACAGAAGTAAATCACATTAAAGCAATGGACAGATATCAAGTTTTATGCTGAATACTCTGGATAGTTTTGCTCTGTCCACCTCTACCCTCTGTCATAGCCACCTTTGTTTATAGCTTTGTCTAGTGCAGGGGTGTCAAACTGGTGGCCCATGGGCCAGATGCGTTACACGCAAGTCACACCCACCCCAGCTCCATGAAGGAGAAAAATGTTGCAATACGTCACGTGACCCCGTGAGCTTGACACCCATTGTTGAGTGTAATTTTTCATCTGACAGACCTAGACTGAAAACATATTACTGGCTGATACAGATAGTCCTTGGCTTATGACCACAACTGAGCCCAAAGTTTCTGTTGCTAAGTGAAACACTTGTTAAGTGAGTTTTGCTTCATTTTACAACCTTTCACAATTGTTAAGTGAATTACTGCAGTTGTTAAGTTAGTAACATGGTTGTTCAGTGAATCTGGCTTCCCCACTGACTTTGCTTATGAGAAGGTTACAAAAGATGATCCCATGACTCCTGGACACTGCAACCGTCATAAATATGAGCCAGTTGCCAAGAGTCTTAATTTTGATCACATAACCATGGGATGCATCAATGATTATAAGTGTGAAAAATGGTCATAAGTAACTTTTTTTAGTGCTGTGGTAACTTCAAATGGTCACTAAGTGAACTGTTTAAGTTGAGGACTACCTATAGATAACGTCACAAATTAAAGATCTTTTTGCTGCCCTTTTCAGTCATCTATATTTTAATTATCCAAACTCAGTAGCTGTACACTGGTCCTGGCAGCCAGTGGGATGAAACTGGGGGACAGTAACATTTCAGCGAGGCTCATCCAAATACCATGTGCTTTTATGTATTTGAAAAAAAAGGGAGAGGGGAAGAGAAAACAAAGAAAAGTTCTTATGCGTGTGAAAGAAAGGTGTGCAAGGGTGGACAGGCTGTATAATTGTAGAATTTTTTAAAATCTGGTGGTGCATTTAGTTGTAAAAACAATCACAAATCATCATAGTTCTCTTTTAATTTGTCATGTCTTCCTTTCTTAGATTACCTTACTGGCCAATTGGTTAATAAAAAATAATCCTCTCATTGATGCTCCAATGGTTGATGTGCACAATAATGAAGTAGTGATGCTCCTGGGACACAGTTGAAGAAATCTGAATAGGCAATAGTCTATTCCTCACTAGTACACCAGTTGTTATTTTCTTAAAAAAATTCACCCCAAAATGCTCAATATCATTGGTTACATTCCAATATCAGCTGTACCCTAAGGGTCAACCCATGTATATCAGCAGGAAGAAATAGGAACGGGCTCCTACTTGGCCTAGGCTACTGGCCAACTGCATCCCCAATCTTCTCATCATCTTCCCTTTCTCGTTTTGATGACTTCTTTAGCAACCCTTACCAGTCTCCTTGACTTTTCCCCATTCTTAACACTCCAAAACACTTTTGCTGAAAACAATGTTTCACTCTGTATCTGCATCTTCATTTCAATGTATACGCAGACCAAATGACCTCTGGGTGCAGAGAATGCAAAGCCAATATTCTATGTATAGAATACTTCACATGCGGAACATTTGTAGTATTGCTTACTGCTAACATATAAACATGTTTATCCTGTGTTCCATATTTGGGTATTTTTAGAAGAAAAACAAATAAGGAGTGACACTAAGCAAAAGACTGGTCTTCAGAGGGTAGGACTCAAATGCACAAAGATAGAAGAAAAACAAATTCTAATATTGATTAGGGGAAGTGGGGTAGGACAGGAACAATTGTTCCTATTCCATGCCTGAATGGTGCTCCATTGAAAGTATGGTTAAGAATTTGAAGTAATCAGGTATATATTTCATTCAAGAGAATAATTGTCTGACTGACTGTTTGTCATCTTTTTGTTTCTATCATCTATCTGTCATCTATTATCTATCTATCTATCTATCTATCTATCTATCTATCTATCTATCTATCATCTTGTAATTATTTCAAACTTGGTCCCCCCCCCTCTCTCTGCAATTGGCTTCTATGAGAGCAACAATGAAGTAGGAAAAAAGACTCTGTGAAGATCAAATATACACATAACATGGTTACCTGCCATGCTAAGTTAAGGCAAGGGTAGAACCTACCACTACCATGAGATCTCCAAACCCTGTCAGTTGATTGAGAATATGGAACTTTGAAAAATATTTTATTCCTTTCTGATAAAGAGGGATAGAGTTTTTTCCTTAGGTATATTCAAATATGATATGTACACCTGGGCATATAGCTTCACTTGTTGAAATGCTGAACATTTTTTAATCTTTGTAGAGTAGCATAAACTAAAAAGACTTAAATTTCAAATGAAGACTACTTTCCATTTGTCAGCTAGATCAATATGAGAATGGGAATTCTTTACAATTGTTTCCATAGTGATTTATCACTGCTACCGTCACAATTGACAATTTGTTAATGTTATCACAATGAACATCACCTCCAACATAAGGCTTCAGAAATGCCAATTTCACAGTGTGTGCACAATGACAACTACTTCTAGCTTAGTAGTATAAAATATCACTACAGTTTATGTATGCATTTGGGGAGTGGGAGGTTTAAAGAAAGATGTTAATCTTATATATGAAAGATAACTCAAAAAGATTTGGGGAGAGATATATGGATTACTCTAGCAATTCCATAGTATAAAATCAAAAGTCCCCTATTTTTTTTCTTATTCAAAACTTGTTGGAAATTCTTTCAAAGAATGGAAATTTTCTACCTGATCTGATAGCCATAGCGTTTTTTCCCCTGTGCAATGGGAATGCATATATAGAGCAATGAAATATGTCACATGAAAAATCACAAAAATCACAAAAAACACAGAAAACAAAAAAGTTAGCATCAGACAAACAGGGAAATATTACAATAAAAAATGTCAATCAATATAAGGACAAACAAATAGCCTTAAGGCACATCATGAAAGTGTGATCAAAGAATCACAAGTTTCCTTGTAGCAGAGATATACAGATGGTCACTGTGTACAAAGAATTAGTTCAGAGATGCAAAGTAAATTATACATTCCATGAATTAAACATGGGGCGGGGGGAGGAATTCTGAAGATACAAATAATCCTTGCTTTGTGGAAGTTGGGCAATGCCAAAAAATCTATTAAAAAGAAGACATGGAGTTGGATGGCTAAGTGCAGGGCTGTCGAACTCCCAGTCAGTGGGCTGGATGCATCACACACTGGCCACATCCTGGCCCGGTTTAGTGAAGGGGAAAAAAGTCCCAATATATCATGTGATGCCACTATGATGACATGAGTTTGACACCCCTGGCTAAGTGCATCAGGAGAAATATTTTGTGTAAGATAGTATAATGAATAAATGCAATCACCCATACATTTTCCTATTAATTGTTTACAAGAGAGGTAAAGGGCATAAAATATTATAAGACATATTGAAATGGAATGAAGCTATGCAATAGCACTATTGCATATTTGTAATAATGCAAAAATTGGCAGGAATTCATTGTAAGTAGGTTGCTTATTTGATCAAACCCCACTCCCAATACATGAGATTGTAGATTGGTGTTCTGGGACTCCATGATAACAAATTTTATAGAGAGGAGTTATAGTTCAGCACCATAGCATATTTTGTGTGTGTGTGTGTGGGGGGACCTTTCTAACATTATTCTATAATATTTCCAGTTTTAAAGCAGTTTGACTACAGTGACTGGTGACAACCTTGGCCAAAATGATTGGCAATAAAAGCTGGAGCATGGCTTCACAGACATCACATAGTATTGTTGAACCTGAGCAGGTCAAGGCTGGAATAGAACTGGGGATCTTAAGTTCTGCAGTTACAGAAAAGTGATGATTGAAATATTATTATAAAATAAAATAAAAAAGTGGAGTGTAGTCAATATAAGACAGATTTTTAAATTCATATACTTTATCATGCTAACCTGTGTTTAATTTTTGTGAGTATTTTGTTATATTTCTTATATTGTTTCATAATATTTGTATGGCAGGTCCCATATTTCTATGGCAGCTCCAAAGAGCTTTAGTTTATATTCCTGGGAATACGTCTGCATAACAAATAATTGGTAGAATTCATTGTGACCTCACATAATACATAATTCTTAATATTCTTGCAGGTCTATATTCAGCTTATTAAAACCATTTGCATTCTACAGAAATGCAAAATTCATAGTTTTGCGTAAAACCTTGAATAATATTTCACATAAAGGTATCAATATGGTTTGAACAATGAAAAGTGGAAATTAAAGATAGATGAAATGCAGTTACCCCATCAATTCTAGGTGATAAATCTGACTAGAACAAGTAATTTTTCGAGAGAATTCAAGAACAGTGGATACACTTACTGCAGTTTACAGGATAAGTACAGATTTATAACCAATTGTGTAATTTCAAATGTAATTTCAACATATCTTTTTTACAATGCTCACAGTAGAGAACATCAGCTGTATTAACAGGACTTCTTTATCAAAATTATCTCAAAACAAGCCACCAACCACTGTACAATTACAAACCACCACCACATTTTTAATTTGTACATGAACATGAGGGAGTTAAATTCCTTTGACAATCAATAGGCATGAGCCCACAAAATCCATAAATTGTACAATGTCAAAAACACAACCAGTCCTTCCCTCCCGAAAGGAGAAAAGAGAAGAAAACAACAAAGAAGTGGATCTGTGTTTGAGTGATGGACAGAACTTGTTTATATGTTCTATAAAATTCAGAAATTCCAACAAAGTAGTACTTGAATATTGCCTCACTGAACTAGTAAAAACTAGATTGCTTTTATTTGTTTTATGATCTCCCAGATTGCCAGTATCTGTAGCAAAAAGATTGGGGAAAAAAAGTCATTTCATGGCACTATTTCATTGGGTTTAGGCAATGGTATATTCTGCTGCTGTTGATTTTCCTTATTGACTTGGTAGCTGTGAAATCCATATGCTAATACTTCTAATGATCAACCATTCCTTTTGACTTTTGGTAACAAGTATTCTCATGCAGTTAATATCAAAAAGAACTTTGTGCTCCACATCTGTGATTTCCAAATTTCCATTTTTAAATTCTCCTAGTCTCAAGAAGGTAGTACATTGCCTTTCCTTTTTGCCCCCAACAGTTTTTTCTCCAACTTCCAGAGCACCATGATGCAAAACATCATTTTGTCGGTCTTCAGTACCGGTGACAACTTTGATTTTGTTAATTTTAAGAGGCCTATCAAAGACAACGACATAAAAATCTCCAGTTGAGGGTGCTTTTGCCCAGAAGTATTCATCCACACTACTATATGCCTTGCTCGCCTCATAATTCTCAAATACGTTCATATTGGTATGCAAGTTGGCAGGAGGGTTATCTGGAAGGTCAAACGAATCCTCTTCAAAGTCATCATCTTTTAATTTATTTTCAGCTCCTTTATAAGATGAGTAATATCCCATGTGCTGAAAAAGGGATGGTTTGAAACGTATGACATCCTTTTGAGCCAACAGCCCACGGAAATGTATCAGCAACCAATCACAAGGCATTTCCTGGTAGAACATCAATAAAAAATGAGCCAGACGAGGGAGATCATGGGAATGATACAATTTCCCAATGTAACCCAACTTGGAAAATTCTAAAGTTACCCAGTAGGTTCCCTCTCGTGAAGTTATGACTTTCTTAATAACAGTCAAGAAGTTTTTTGCACATCTAACATCATCTTCTAACATTACATAATAATCAGAAAGGTTAGCACAAAAGTTAAGCAAGAATGCATAATCAACATTTTGCTTGGAGCGAAATTTCACCCGGTCTTCTGGATCATTGTAATTTCTCTTAAGTCCATTCAAAACTGGATAATATTCCTCTGGTGTATGGATTACCATTAATCTGCCAGCAATTACATGATGGGCAAATTTCTGTGAAATATCTTGAACCATGCTATCACACCAGGTGGAGTCAAATTCTGCCAGATGTACGACCACAGCAATTTCTTTCAGCTCTTCATAACTTGACTGTTCAAATATGGACTTGATTGTCTCCAGCAAATAATTCCCTTTTTTCCTTTTGACTGAAGATAGTCCAATGGTAAGATATCCTGAATAATAATAATGAAAATAAAAACAATATTTAAGTTCTATAGAACTGAGCAATAAAGCAAATTTACTTGTTATTCATAACAAATGATTGGGAACATAAAAACATAATCAACAAATATGTGTGTATGTCCATCAGAATGTTTCCCTTTTGCTTTGGCTGCTTTTGAAACAATTCTTCTTGCATATATCTCTTAGCAAACATTTTGCCTTGTCTGTCCATCCGTCCATCCATCCATCCATCTGTTCACCCATCCATCCATTTCCCTAGCTCAAAAAAGAAAGGGCCTCTTACCATTCAAGTAATAGACTTTTAGACTGTATGCATTAAAGTGGATGAACTAAATTATACTAAAATGTCTTCCATTGAAAGTGGTGGGATTTTAACCGTACTTAAGTCTATCTGGGTTCATGTAAGAATATGTTTTGAATTAGCCTTTCAAAATTGCTTGGGAGACATGATTTTGGCACTTTGAATTCAAAGATAATAATATCTTCTCTATTGCACCCTAGTATGTTTGCCTTATCATTTTAGGAGAAATGAGACCACATCTCTAACAAGCAGAGAAAGCAATTGCTGTTGTATCAAAATTACCATGTGGTAAATGTGGATACAGAACTTTTGGGATGGTTCCTTATGCTCTTCCAAACTAACAGAGACATATTTTTAGGAGCCTGGAAACAAAGAATTAAGAATTTCCTTATTTCTGCAAAGTTTTGGCTATTTATAAGCTATAGCTATCATTATTAAAATACAGCGTAGTTACACAATTTGTTTGTCTGTGTTTCTTGGGAGATCTGTAGATGTAGTTTGGATTTATCAGGAGAAAATTGATCCTAAATTCTTGTGAAGAGTCCTCTGCTGATGGTATATTATAAAATATTTTGCCTTGCATCTAATAACTTTACTTACTGTATAGGATATGAGCCCATCAACCTTAACTGAATGTTTGCATCATCACAGGTTTTTGATGACACTAAATCTTTTTAGAATGCCAACTGTTTTCTTAAATATGGTTATCATTCTATCTTTAGTTAAACAGAGTGCCTTAGTAGAAAAGTGCATCTCTCATGTAATTAATAAATGAAAATGATATAGTGTGAAGTTGAACTATTTGTGGTGTTCCCCAACAGCTACCTAATTCCAAGAGCAGACAAAGATTTTTGAACTCTGAAAGTTCAATGAAAGACAGCAGGAAAACGTCTTCATGGAAATCTGTGTTAACAATGAATTCTTCCCAAACAAGTTCTTTGAAGAAGCCAGAACTAACAACGGTTTTTGTAATCCTTTGTTCATGCCAGGAGAAAAGACATAAAAGAACTCAGCTGGCAAAACCAATCATTTCCTGATCTTCTTTTAATTTCTATCATTTTTCTTTCTTCCATTTTTCTTAGGTAGCCACTAACTGTGCCTCAGGATAGAAATCCATGAAAGAAAGATAAGGTTATGTCCATGTATGGGGTAGGTTGCCTAGCACTGATAAAAAGGTAACCTCCCTCTCTCATTCTCTTTTTATTCTCCCTCATAAACTAGAGACCCTTACACACTTTTTTGCCTTGAAAGCAACCTCTCATTTTTATTCTCAGATTCCAGGTTAAGCTGTGATGTTCAACATGCTCAAATATTCCCTGCTTAGCAACTAGATATGTTTGTGTGGTGTTAATGCAAAGCTACAACTTTTAAATCTTTACTTCTTTCTTTTTGCTGTGGCAAGAAATTTAAGACTACATCTGTATATTTCTTTCTTTGCTATAACGATAAGCTTCGGGATTTTTCTCCTTCACTGCTGTAGCAAGAAACTACATCTTTTTATATATGTCTTTGCTTACTTGCTTTTACTTACTCAGTCTATGGCTTAAATTCTCTGTATGTTCCATTAAAGAAGATCACTTCTCAAATCCCCCTACTTCCTATCTTTGAAACTTGCATTCTTTCTCTCTCTCGTTGAATAAAATGAAATTGCATTCCCCATAGATCAGGGGTCTTCAACCTTGTCAACTTTAAGTCTGGCGGACTTCAACTCCCAGAATTCTGGAAGTTGAAGTCCGCCAGGCTTAAAGTTGACAAGGTTGGAGACCCCTGCCATAGATGGTTAATTGCTCAAGTTCTCTGGCTTAGCATTTGGGCTGTAATTGTTTAAGAATGCTGTCTGAAACTGTTATTTGATTGCATTATATATCTTTTGGATCAAATATTTCTCAATACAATGTACTAATGGATTATTAATTATAGCTTCATTTTAGACTTCCAGATTGCATTAACCCATTTATAAGTCTCTGGATGCTAGAGAGAAACAGTATGACATGGTAGGTTCCCCTCTTCCCATTTTTTCCCCAACCTGGGCCAAAATATGATTTGTTTGTTTTTGCTTTAGAATTTTGTATACATCTACGTATGATGGTATGGAAACATAATTATGCATTAGGCTATTCTAGCAAGTTGAGGTTGATTCAATTATTTTTGGTTAAAAAAAATTAATTATTGCAATGTGTAAACTAGCTTTTCTCCCCTAATTTACCTGTATGATCAGGCAGTTCGTGGGAGCAACATACGAGCAAAATTGCTGTTGGCTGTTTAAGGAGAATATGAGATATTGAAAATGATTCTCAGACCTATGAAAAATAACTACTAAAAGTAGAGCTACTCTATTTGTTTGATATCCCACTTTTGAAAGGGAAATGCCTGAGCTCTCTTATATCTAAACCTCAACAGAGACAGAGAACATCTGGCTCACCTTTTCTGGATTTAGAAGTTGAGCAAGTTTAATCCTGGTTAGTAGTTGAATTAACCAACGAACCCCAGAGAAATAAATTAGGCGGGGAAAGTAAAAAGAAAAAAGAAAGAAACATGCTTCTGGAAGAGAGCAATGACAAATTACTTCAATACAGCTAGCAAGCATGTCCAAGGGTCCCCCAGGAGTTGAGCTCATCTTGAGGACATGTTTACTTTTATACCATGCAAAGGTAAAATTCTAGAAGGATCAGAAGGATGTTCCCCAGTTCAGCGAGATTACAAAGCCCTGCCTCTTCTTCTGAGTTGCACATAAGCTTTTTATGTTCTGTGAAAAAGGAGCTTATTAATATAATGGCAACTTAAAGCTTCTTTCATTGCCCTCTAAAAAGCTGATGAACTTACATCTGCCACATTTTCTTTGTGACATTTAGAATAGATAAAAACACTATTTGTTGTTAAGAAAATGGAAAAATTCTGTTCCTTACTTTTTCTTAGTAAAGGTGTGCCAGCCAGATAGCGATAGGAAACATTTATTGATCCTGAGAAGTTGGACAGATCTTTAAAACTGTGAACATACCGCTCGGAATTTAATTGATGTGTTGCCGTATCTCTGATTAACTGCTTATCTCCATTCTAGAAGTTGGAAGAGAGAAGAAAAACAAAATAAAAGACACATAGCATAATTATTGTAAGAAGTGGAAGGAAGCAATACAAACAATATTTTGTATTATTTATCTGCTTCAATCTTACTTTATATCCAGTCCAGGTACAGGCATGTTTAACACATATATAATGTTTCCTATGTTTTCCAGCTCCAAGACAGGACATATCATGTTATGTCAGATATGTTCAGATCTATATACAGTATAGGCTCCTATAGATAGTTCTCAGGTGTAGAACTATCAAATGCTCTTAAGGAGAAAGCCAGTAGTGTTAAATAGTCCAAAATGTAATTGACTAGAACCCAATCTCTTTTGTTTGGGAAGAATGGTCTCTATTGTTTTGCTTTGGTAACAGATTGAACTGTCCGTTTGGAATTATACCAGCTCTCACATTTATTAACTCTGATCCCTTTGAATCAATGACAGGTAATCATAGGAGTCAATAATACTCCCTCTATAAAACCAGCAAGACTGCCAGAAGTCACAATTTAGTTTATCTATCTATCTAGCTAAGCATTAACTGGATATATTTCAATCTAGCAGCCTAGTGCTTTTTTCCAGCAGTTGCACCCAAAATTATAGGAAAGAGGTTAGTGGGTGTAGCATATTATTAGTAGAGAAAAATTGAAAGTTTTAGTGGCTTTATGAAAGTGACCAAGTTTATATAACAAGGGAACATCTAAAACCAATAGGTTTCTGATTTCTAGGATTAAATTAGGCTAAAGGATAAAGTCTTATCTGCTATAAAGCTCTGAGTTCAGAAGATAGGCAAGGTAAGAACCCTATAAATGGGAAAATTGATTGGCTCCAAATTGCATGGAACTCCAGTGTTTTAGACTTGAAAATAAAAGTTTAAAAATTCTTCTTATGACACAGATGATACAGAAGGAATTTTCCCATGCTAAAACAACATGAATGTCTTCATGTGGATGTCCCATGAGTTCACTCCAGTTTGATGTGGTCATCGTTTCTCTTTCACGACCATCTCTAGAGTTAAGAATGATAGTCGATATTTCATTATTTAGGTAAATAATCATAAATCAAAATGTTGTTTTGTGATATAGTTATTGTTGTTATTTTACTATGTGTGGATATTTTGAATATTAATTAATATTTCATTTAACTAAGTCAGATATTATGCTCAATGTACTCTTGGCTTTTTACTGGAGATTAATAAAAATAATAATATACTTTTATTGTATAATCTCCTTTCCCCTCCTCCTGGAAATAAGGCTAGAAGCCAGGATCTCAGATTTTCTTTGAAATAATCACTGAATGTGATTTCACTAATACAAAATTTGGCAGTCTGAACAATGCTTTCTTGTGATTCTTTCTTCTTTAATGCATCTTTAAGTTAGGTTTCCTCTACTTGTATTCTTTTCTACTTCTCAGAGGATATTCATGCAAAAACTACTTTGTTGCATTGCATTGAAATAGAGATTTTTTTGTCCCTTTTTTCATGGCAGCTTAATGTGGCTAATGCTGGTAAGCAGCTTTAGTCATAGCACATGTCTAGAAACCTGGAAAGGAAATTTGCATAACTGTTGAAAATCCAAAGAAGTCAATTTCCTTGCATGCTGTCTGCATCTTTTGAGACATCTCAGCAGTAATGCAATCTATTTCCAGCTTCTGACAGCTGTGTGACTCCTCACCTTCCTCCTCTGTCCCTTGGCTGCCTGTGCCAATTAATTTTCCCCCATACCTTACCCAAGAGAAGATGACAAAGCAAACTGAACTTCTTTCTTGTCCTCTCTTCTCTCCGAATCAGTCTGAAAAAGGTGACTAGGTATTCACCAAAGAAGGAGGTGAAGCAGAAGATTTGATAGCGGAAGACAGGAGGGTTAGCTAGACATTTTTCACCTATGTTCTAACTTCTAACATCAAGTATCTATATTCACTTTTCCTTGACATTGCCTCTCTATTTGTTTATAAACTGCTCATTCTCTGAAGGATTATAGGTTATATTAATTAATTAAGACAAAACAATTGGACTAAATGCAAAACATAATGAACTAAAGTGAAAGATATACTACATATGTGTCTCACTGATAGAGAAGCAGTGAAGGGATAAAGGCATGCTTAGAAAAAAGGATCATGTGCCCTAGGTAAATGATTAAAACCAGGTCTTCATCTGGTACAAAAGGCAAATATTATTAACACTACTCTGGCCTCCAAAGGAAGGTCATTCTAACTTGTGTTGTACTTTTATTATCACTGCCTCAATCACTTTCACATGTTTATGGAAGCTTTATGGAAGCTATAAGAAGCTGATCTGCTTAATCTTAAAGGTACTTTGCTGTTAGATGTGAATTCAGGGTCCTGAGGACTACACATCTAAGTACACCTGGAGAGTTTTAAAAGCTTGTTGTTTCCTATGCTGTTGGATTTTAAATACAAAAGCTTTCAAAAAAACATAACAAAACCATTAATCTTCTTCATTAATCAGAACACAAACAATATAATGGAGAAATCAGAAATGATGAGAGCTCTGCCCATAAAGAGAAAAAAAAGTAAAACAAAGAAATAAGTAAAGAAATCAAAAGCTTCATAAAGGTCAACAACATCCAACATTACAAATGAAAATAAAATCATGAATTGTTTTAACCAGGGCTTGTTGAATAAGCTAAAAAAACAAGGTAGATGAACAGGGTAATCATTTGGCCAATTCCTGATTTGTTGCATATTCTTCCTAATGCAATCTTGCCTTGAACCTCTGTGGATTGGTTACAGATTTGATGCAGCACAAAACTAACCCATCAATAAGCTATGAATTCTTGTTCATCTGGTACATTAAACTAGAAATAGGAAAAATACACTGTTTACTGGGAGCTGCCAACACATATTTAGCTTAACATTTTAGTAATGCTTTGCAGAAACAATGACAATGATGTCATAATATCATTGATTCATAATGTCTCACAGTTGCATGTGGCTGAACTTGAAGAAACATTGCAGAGAAATATTTGGTAAAGGTAGGACAGTTTCTTCTTTTTCTAAAAAAAAATGTCTGCAAAATTGGTAGGAAACAATGTCTCTGTATTTTGATATTTGAATTGTGATGGGTTGGTAGCTTTATGGAAGCTATAAAAAGCTGATCTGCTTAATCCTAAAGGTACTTTGCTGTTAGATGTGAATTCAAAGTCAATCAAAAATTATTTATGAAATTGAGTTTTGAGGTGATGAAAAACATCAAAGCAAAATAGAAATTCTCAATTTTTATCTGCTTGTTGCCTGCTTAACCTATAATTTGTGTTCTCACCTATAAGTCAGCAGAAACTTGGCTTCATAATATATCTAAATGCATCCACCAAATGGGCCTTAAAAAAGTCAAGAGCATTAGACAAGCAAAGCTGAGACTTGGCAATTAAATGTATCAGTTTTGTTTTGAAAGAAACAATGAGGGACAAACCTTTTTATTATTAAAAAAAGACAAATTAAGTGTAAGACATCATGCCATCTGGGAAGTTCACATAAAGATCTGAAAACAAGCAAAACAGAAATAGCATAAACTGCAACAAATAGAAAGCAACAGGATGCACCTAGAGGATCTTGAGTAATTAGCAAACCAAAGTAAGTATCAATGAATGTGACAAAAACATAGTGTAAACCAGATAAAATTCCATCACAGGTGAGGGGATATGAATAAATAAAATCCTACAAAATGCTTTAATGGAAACAGTGCCAGTAGAAGAAGCCACATTTCAAAAGCCTAGTGGAGTAAAAATGGCTAAAAGGGGAGTTTTCTTACTTCTAAAACCAATGTGATTGAAACTGGAATATTCATCCACAAAAGCAAATTTTATCAGTGGTAAAATATGTGTTGAATCAAACATGAATCATATAGTCAGTTGGAAAAGGTATTTTGATTAAGTGAAACAGTCCTAAAGATCCAGATTCTCTAGAAGTCTCCCATGCAAGAAGCAATGACAGAAGTCATTTTTGACTGTATGGATGTGAACATCAAATTATTACCCATCAATTCAATTTCTTTGGCTCGCAGAGAAATCTAGCTAGATGCTGTGGAAAATAGTACGGTAGTATAGACAAACTTTTGACCTAAGCCTGCAAGCAATTTATATGTTCCTTGCCTTGATATTTCTTACTGAGGCTGAAATTTTTTGAAGGAATTCAGTTTCTGAGAAAGAAGAGCATATTTACAACATAATGTGGAATTCTATTTCCACAGTGCTACAGTAACTATCATTGAATTGAACATGGGTTCTTAGGGTGATACTAGACAACCCCTGACTTGCTGAGCAATCTTTTCAGAGATGCTTCCTTACCTAAACAGAGAAACAGAATGACCACAGGGGAGCAAAAAAGGAGCTGGCTTCCACATTGAAATTTCTTCTAGGAAGCTGGAAGGGAGGATTAGAAACCTTCCCTTTTCCCTTCCCTTTCCCTTTCCTTCCCAGCTAAGTGACTGCTGCTGTGTATGGGATGGGGGTATAGGTTTGTAACAGTGGCTGGAAACTGGGAAATATAATGGAATATTCAAAATGAGCATCATACCAGCAACCTCAAAGCAGACACAACTTCCCAAAATTTCATTCCTTTGGGTCCTGGATTTTAGGTACACATCTAAGTTAGCTTATTTGCAGGTAGCTTGATTCAAAAATTGTTGTCCTGTGATGCATTGTTTCACGCATTTTAAGTTATGGGAATGAGAGTTTTAGCACTATATACTGTAGATTTGCTGTTCCATATGTACTCAACAAATCATGCAGGAATAAGGTTCTAACAGGGGCTGTTGCGTTTGTCTTTTTGTCAATATACCCTTTCTCCGTTTAGTGACTGTAATCTGTTCCAGTGACTTTGTTGTTAAGCAGAATGGTTGCTAAGTTAACATGTGACCAGGGGGAGGAGAGAGGAGGAAGGGAGACTGTGAAGATTGCTAGTTGCTATTGTCTAATTCAGGCAAAGCTCTCTCATGTAGCTATGCCAGCATTACTGCGACTCCAGTGTGCACTGTTGCCAGGCATAGAAATTTGGTTATGAGTCTGCATGTTGGATAGAAAATGATTTTTGTTTTACTACAATTTATTACTGGTTTATTTTCAAATAGTTACTAAGCGAGGTACTGTAGTTCAGAGATGGGTTGCAAAATCTGACACTACCGGTTTGCTTGTGCTTGCGCACATGCGCGACGCTTATGCACATGCACAGAAGTGTCTGGATGAGTGGGCGGAGCCTCCCGCTTCTGCCACTACTGATTTGCCTAATCCGGCTGAACCAGCAGCTACCTACCTCTGCTGTAGTTATTAAACAAGGAGTTGGTATAAATGCTTTTTTCCCCCTTACTAGCATTGCACAGAGATTTGATTTGAAGTTTTGATTAAATTTCTGAAGGGAATTGCCTTTCCAAAATGGATTAACAATTTGAATCAAACCATTGAATTAGATGCCTCCAAATTAATTCAGTGATTTGGAAGGGCTTTGCTGGAGTGGTGCGGTGGCCTAGAGATGGAGCTCCCACCTCACAATCAGGAGGCTGTGAGTTCGATCCTAGGTAGAGCCAGATATTTCTCTCTCTGGGCACAATGAGAATATATCTGCTGAACAAAACTCCACATTGGCGACAGGAAGGCCATCTGGCCATTAAACACTCTACTAGCTCCATTCAGTTGCCCAGACTCCACCCCACAAGGGATTATGGAGTCATTAAAAGATGATGGTATTTAGAAGGGCTTTACTAACAGTATTCAAAAATTCAGATGAAACTAATTGAAATTAGAATCCGAGCATCAACTGAAAATTGAACCCAAATTTTACATGACCCCAAAAAATTCATTTTTTCCTTTGGACTATTACACTTTATCTGCTTTTGTTTAGACAGCCTGCTTGTTTTTGTTATCCTGTGCTATTAAAAAACAGTTAATTCTATACAATATCCAACTTACCAAGACATAGCTATCTTCAATGTATAAGTTCAAGAACAACAAGCAAATGACAAGGACTCCAAGAAAGGATACAGCGGATCTCTTGCGCAGGCACCTCATTTTGTCCCAAAGCTTCAATGTGCATCTCACATGGAGACACAGCACCTCCTAAGAGAGAAAAACAGTAAAATTTGTTTGGGGCATTGCTGGAAATTTGCTTTTTTTGGTTACATTTTTAAACAAAAAAAATATTGAATTCATTTCCAGGTTGTCATTACCCCATAATACTCACAATTTTGAAATGGCTTGGTAGGAGTTTTTGTTTTAATCTGTTTCTTTTTAAAATGTGTTTCTATTCATTTTAACTGACCTTTAATTTTTTTTAAGCTAAAATTGATGTGTCAGTTACATTTTCTATCTTGGAGAAAGTAAGCAATACACTAAGGAACACAGTATGCCAGTTAGGGAAATAATTCACTGGAATTTCTACACTATCATCATGAAAACTAATCTAAAACAATTTGTTCATTTTTTTTCAAGAAGACTATGTGGGGTAGATTAAATGTTACATAGAATTTAAACGTTTAAAGACTGGTATTAATTCTTGTCTGTTTAAATGGAAAACGACCTTTGCTACCTGCTGGTTTGACACACCAAACAATTAAATTTAGTCAAATTACATAGGAAGGAAACAATATGTTAATTAAAGGAAATTATCAAGAAAGTGAATAAAATAATTGACATGTTTTGATTTTTCTTCAATTAAGTTAAGTTAATATTAATTATGTAAGTTAATAATATATAATAATAATATAAATTAAGTTAATAGCAATAGCACTTAGACTCATATACTGCTTCAGAATGCCCTACAGCAGTTTGCAGAGTCGTCATATTGCCCCCAATTTGAGTCCTAATTTTACCCACCTCAGAAGGGTGGGAGGCTGAGTCAACCTCGAGCCTGCTGATATTTGAATTGCCAAATTGCAGTCAGTCAGCAATCAGCAGAAGTAATCTGCAATACTGTATTCTAACCACTGCACCACTGCGCCTCAATAACCTTTCTTTTTACTAAAAATAACATTTTAGTAACTTTACTAATGCTTTAAAATTCTTGTTAGGGCCCAAATAATCAACTTGGATGGTTGATGCTTTGAAATAAATGCTGTATAATACATATAATATTGGGATAACTTTTTAAAGCATAAAAACAAGAGCCTGATAAAAATATATCACTGTTTTAATGACTTAAGCAAAAGTGCTTTGAATCTGCTCTCGTGCATTGCGAATAATTTCAAAGCAGAAGTAAAGTTCTACAACTCAATAATACTCTTAAGAGATTTTGCTGCAATTAAGACATCATGCTTTACCAAATTATTAATGAGTGGTGCCAACTAAAGTGGATTGCATTAGCTGCATCACAAGTCTAATTCATATTTCAAAGTTGAAAGTGCACTAATTGGATCATTGCCATTTTGTTCCTCATCCTTTAGAGGAAAAATAAAATAAAAAATAAAAATATCCATAAATCCTATGGATATATATGGAAATGGCAAATAAATTCACATATTTATGTATAATATGATACATTAAGTACAATGTCTGAAAGAAAATAATACCAAAATGCAGATTTAAAAATAAATCAAAAATAAGATGTTCGTTATATTTCGTTATACCACTTTGTTCAGAAAAAATCCTAACCATTAATTGTTCTAAAATCACTAGATGGCAGTATGGACTTATAGTTGTTGTTTCTGCATCTATTTTACCTCTTTACAATTAGGTTACAAAAATGCATCATTTCAGCTTTTTTTCCCGCTGTTAACACATTTTGGACCAAATCTGATTTAACATTTTTCCTCTCAAAAGAAACTTACAGTATATTAAAAAGGTTACATCAGAATTCAAAACTGATGTGGATTTTTCCCCTCTGGGTGAGGAAAAAATGTAAGGCAAAAAGAAAAGCTGTCTGCTCACTAAAAAAGCTGTTTCCAAAATTCATTAACTACATGGCTCCATATGTCACAGAAATAGAACAGTGAAAATAATTTATTTGAAATTGTGTATTGCATTTTAAAGAGATTAATTACACATACTTTACAAGAAAACAGTGAAAACAAATAAAGAAAATAAATCAGGAGGAATGAAAAGATAAGCAGTATTGTAAAATATAAATATTATTTCATCTCCAAATCTGTGAAAAAAGATTCAAAAGGCTGAATAAGAGATACAGTTTTATTAATTAATTTGGAGATTCTTTAGGGTAGATATGTTCATTCATTCATTTATTCATTCATTCGTTTGTTCATTTGTTTGTTCATTATTTATTCATTCTATTTCTACACTACCAATCAGAATTAAAATAACCTACTTCTTTCTTTTCACTCGTTCTGCAGAGGTCCATACTAGTGTAAGTTAAGGATGGGGAATATCTCCTCACCTTTCTAAGTTCCTCCTGCTTGATTCAAAGTATCAAATCTATTATTAAAAGTTATCTTTATGTCCTACTGTTGATTTACCTTAAAATATGTCTAAAACTTCTGGTCACAGTAATTCTTCTCATTAAGGAAATTGTCACAAAGGATGATCCAACTGTTGGGTCGCCACAAGACAATGAGATAAATGTAAAAAATGTATATACATCAGAATTCTGCTACAAGGGATCAAAGACTTATCTGGTCCACCAATCTGTTCCCACAACTAGATACTTAGAGGATATTCAAAAGTAGGATATTAACTGCACCGTTTTTATTTATTTATTAATTAATCATTTTTAAAATAAAAAGGGAGAGAACCAGCAAGCAAAAAGTGAAAGCAAAAAAATAATGTCTATATTTTGTATTATTCGTGTGTGTGTTTGTGTGTTTGTGTGTGTGTGTGTGTGTGTGTGTGTGTGTGTATGTGTGTGTGCATGCAGTGGTGGCACAGTGGTTAGAATGCAGTACTGCAGGCTACTTCTCCTGACTGCTGGCTGCCAGCAGTTTGGCAGTTCGAGTCCCAAGTGTAAAATGGGGACCCAAATTGTTGGGGGCAATATGCTGACTCTGTAAACCGCTTAGAGAGGGCTGTAAAACACTTTGAAGTGGTATGTAAGTCTAAGTGCTATTGTTATTGCTATACAAATATTATCTATAAGTAAATAAAGGAATTCCCAAAGTTGTACAATTGGAACAACACAACACAAGTAATTATAAAAAACAGAGAATGCAAAAAGAGAGAAAAAGAGAATAAGGCAAAGAAAATTACTAAAAATCCTGTAGATAAATATCACTTTCCAACTTCTGACTAATGTACAATATTTGTAGACTTTAATTATATCAATTGATATTCTAAGGTACTATTCCCAATACTAAAAATCACTGAAGCTCTTACCCTCCATAACTTTCAAATCTGAACAACTAATATCCATCTATGGAATTCCTTTCAATCAGATTAATGGAGGAAACAGCCACTGTTTCTTAATTCAAGCGGGACAGAGATATGTGAACTGTAACAATTGCATCAGTTCATTCCTGGTTGTGCTGTGATCTTTTTAGGGTGGCTTCTTTTCTAGAACCAAATGGAAGCTCTGTGACAAGCTATTTGGGGAGCATTCAAATAAAATGCATGGCATTAAAATGTGTGTGAGCTCATGTGTATGAGCTTTTCTATAATGCTAAAGTAATTGCAAGCTAATCTTAGCTCTAAAACAATATGCACATTAAACACATTTGCTAATATTCTTAACTTTTTAAAAAGTAATGACTTACAGTATAAAGTTAAAACTAAAAAAAATACCCCAAGAATACTGGGTACTAACAATGTGTAGTATTTGCTTCCTTGATGTCACTGAGTATATATCTTTATGCTTTATAGCTCAGTGTCATGCTCTGCTTAGCTGAGGTCATCATCTATAGGAGCTGATGCAAGCATACCTTCCCCATCATTCATATACAAGGACACATTTTCTTCTCATTCGAATAGGAGGGTAGCGTTCAGCTCTAGCATGTTGCAGCATCTTCTCCTATGCCACTATTCAGCAAAGTTGTTTGTCACATCTATGGAGTCATCAAATTGCACTGTCTATCTTGCATTAAAATGCTATTTAGAAAATATGGATGGTGCAAAAGAAATGCAAAGTTCTGTCTGTTTTCACAGCGTGCCTTTGTCAGCATTCCAAATATCATGCAGAATTAAATCAGAGTCCAATGCAAAACAATCCTTTTGGTTCCAATTTAATAAAGCAGACATCTTAGGCACATCTGTGTTATGGAATCCCAATACTGGAAATGACATCAGAATTCCACCCAGTTAAAAGTTCATGATCTTGTCCCCACACCCACAATCCATCACATGGTCCAATCTTCTTCCATGCTGGCATCCACACCCAGCTGCTTTGGGTCAGGTGTACTGGTGCAGAGACAAAGGATAACCTTGGCTTCTAGTAAAGAATGAAAACAATACATTCCACAATCTATTCCCCCTTCCCATCAACTATACTAAAGAAACAGCATAATGAAATAAGAGAAAGTATAGCAGGCCAAAATTCTAAAAGGAATATAAATGCAGGCCTGACAGGCTTGTTGAGCACTCTAATATCCCAATAAAGGCTTTTCAATTTTATTGTATAGGACGCATTGGTTGTTAATGAGTTTATTATCAGATAATCTGACTAATTATGAAGAGTATGCACTTTGTGGGGTCCTTGGTGCTGGGTTTGTTGTCTTGCAGACATTTCATTATCCAACTGGTAACATCATAGGTGCTAAAAGGAAATGGGGTTTGCTTTCTGTTTATATACAAGTGGCTTGCCCTGTCAGTGTTGGTGAAAATATTCTTAGTACCATAGTTCCTTGACTGTGAAGCTATTATTTACTGTTTGATTGTTGATCTGGAAGTAATCCTGGTTTTAATCTCTGCTTGTTGTTGATTGCTTCATATGTCTACTCCAATTCCTTTTTCATTATGACAAAGGTGCCATTTGCATACTGGATTTATATCAGGTTTGTATCTATGGGAGTGCTATACTTTCTAGACATTGCATTACAGACTCTGCTATGAATCCTGAAAGTGGTGATTTGTTGGTATATTTGTCAAACTGAAAGTAGGCAGTATGGCAAAGGTTAATGAGGTCCATGATTCTGGTTTTAGTATTTTACTATTTGTTTATATCATATGTGTTGTGTAGTAGT